AAAAAAAAACCAAAGCACCCATTATAAGGCAAATGTTGTCAGCATTCCTCTACAGATCCCAACCCTCGAACAGCCCATTCTTCTACAGATTAATGGAAACCAAAATTAAAATCATCGAAAATAAATAATAGTCACATTGTCCGCTGGAAAATGGTACATATGCCCCTACAGTGTTACCAGCTCTTTTGCTTCCTCTTGCAGAAACCCAAGCATAATTCAAGGAAACAACCCTGACCAAGGAAGCCCTCATCAGCCATATACAAGCTCGCTGTCACCCAACAACCACCATTGCTAATTATAAATCTTATCTTAAATTTGAAAAAACCCTCATCGCAAACCCATTGATGGGCACTGGGCACCAGAGACTGATCAACCCACTGCCAGTTTACTTATAGAAAGTAATCAGGTGTCCTCCGGGTTACATCCGGCTCTCCTCTCCTTGGAGCAGGCTCAAACTGCAAAAACAGAATAGTTCTCAAATGTTTATTGCAACCCATGTTTTGAACATTATACATGGAAATGCAAGCATTTATATACATATACAATGAAAATATTAGCATTGTGTGAAAAGAGAACAGCCCACCTGAATGAATGTATGACCCTTGCAGTCATCAACTTCCAGGATGGAAGCCATGTTTCCACATCGATAGCAATAATTAGGTGCGCTAAATATAGTAACAACCTTTTGTTCCTGTCAAATCATCAATAACACAAATTTCGTATCAAAACTCAAAAAATTCTGGAAAAAGCACCAACACTGGGGAAGTACTTACATGACCCCAATTGTATCCTTCCATGACCAGCTGATGAGCCCTAGCAATCAGCTTCAAGTTATTTGTATGGTTAAATTGCTCAGATATGTCCTGAAGACATCATAAAAGGTTAGCACACCAAAGAGGAGATAAAAACATATCCTTTGACCATTTCCAAGAAAAACAGGAATAAAACCAAAAAAGGAAGCAAAGCAACAAAATAATACTTGGCCAAAGGTATATCCAGCACCCCTTGGAGAAATACCCCAACCACAACGATCATCTGGGTCAGACCACAAAAGATCGCACATGGGACCCTCATGAGGGACTTCTTGAACACGGTCAAAATTACGTATGTTATCCAGGGTTTCAATGGATGGAGACAACCCACCATGGAGACAGAAAATTTCAGATTCAACCTTCAAAACAGAAGAAAGTCCGCAGGTAAGAACCATTAACAAAAACAATACATCTATAGTTCACCTATAACTGATTCTGGTGTCATAAACTAACAAACTACATCAAAAGTTAGACATCAGCGCCATTAGCTGAGCTTAGCTTAGCTAGATGTTTAGTCCAACATGATCTATGTAAATTGAAGCTTCAAGTGATAAATGATGCTGCTAATAATTCTGGTAAAGATATACTAGTGCCAGATGCTGGAAAAAACAAAATAAAGAATCCAGGCATTGTTGGGAAAAATGATGAGAACAGTGTGCTAGAACTAAGGCAGTATCACTAGTTTGCTTTCGTATCAACCCCTTTATGGTTACAGTTAAAAGTTAAGTCATTATGTGGTAAAAGAAGGCATCTTGAAAACCTACGTTACTTGGATTGAGGGCAAGTGTTCGATAGAGATATGTCCTTGATACAGGTACATTCAATTTTTCTAAGTTTTTCCTTTTCTTTGGAGGGTCAGACCTCCATACTCACATCCATCAGATATATATGTGTCAAACATAGGTACTTCATGGAAAATGAAGAGTTTGAGCAACATAATTGATAGCAAGGCATCACTTTTCAAAAATCATGCAACGTGTTACTGAAAACACTGGAATTATAATCCATGACACCGTGACAGCACGCCATACCAAGTCTCTAATTACTCACATCCAAGTAATGTCCCAATTTCCAGTAATCACAACCAAAAAACTTTACCAAAGATCATTTCAAACAACATCAAACACTGAATAACTAAATACTAACCAACGCTGTTAGTGGAAAATAGTCAAACAGATCAGTGAAGATCTTCCATACGTTGGCATTGCCATACCTGCAGATAAAATAGAAAACATATCTTCAAAGAAAAGACCAATAACTTAATAAAAGAGAAACTTCCTAACCCAAAAAGGAAAATGAATGAGCAATTAACATAGGACCAGTATAAGTCAAAGAGTAAAAGAGAATGAAGTTCCTGAGTTATTTAAAATTGTTTCTTCAGCCCACTTCTATTCTCAGAATAACAATTATATGTGAAGTGAATTCTGCTTCCTAGCACAAAAAACTGTAGACACCCTTTAAATTAGGCAATTGAATGAGAAATAAGCTTATTCATGGACAAGATCCAATTGCCCCAACACTAGCATTGGCATCACCTACTTCCACATTTGATGTTCAAACCAGTTCATTACCTAATTGGTTCATTAAGAAAGATAATTAACATGCCAACCTAACAAGGATTGCGTGAAAACTTCTTTGGTTAACAAAGGCAGATCTGGCAGCTATTGAAAAAAATATCATAAATCTAGATCAAAATACTTCTTTGAAAATTCTGACAAGCTGGTCCCTATAATAGTCACTCCTCTTTATTTTATCTATTTGCAACATTAGGTTCATGTATCAAAGCTGCACATGAACCACAAAATATAACCAGATTACCTTCCCAATTAATCACAATAATCAAATTGGGCCTTATGCCCACCTTTAGAAACCACATTATAAATGAAAAGTGTGAACAGGAAGGAAAGATAACAAGCAGTATTTTACAGTCACATTAAAGAAAACCAGCCTCAATCTCAACTCTCAAAGTTAATGTATTTCTGCATTACAAAAAAGCCTACATAGAAAGATTCTAAGATACTCACTTCCTTAGGCATTCATCATAAAACCCATACACTTGAGTAATCTGCATTCATAAACAGAAAACAATTAACAGGAAACATAAGAATCAAATGGATATAAGTAAGTTGCAAAAGAAAATTGGAAAACAACGAAGACAACCAAGTTTTTCGTACATGCATTACAGCTTTTAGAAAGAACACTAACAAATCATTCCTACTTAAATAAGCTCTTACAAGAAATGTTCATGGCTTTTATATATATATATATATATCAAGAACAATCATTTAGAAACATAGCATACCTGACGGCTCTCATGATTTCCCCTCAGAATAGTTATCCGTTGGGGGTAACGCACTTTGAGGGCTACCAAGAGCTGAACAAAAGTTAATCACAAACAAATGATAAGTTGCAACCACAACTAAACATAATTAACAGCAATTAGTCAAAACCCTGCACTAATTCACAGACTGAAGGACCACCAAAATTACACAAGCAGTATACTTGAGACTCCACCTTAAGTTTTCCAGATTGCCTATGGTCATAGAAAAAAAAAGGTCAAATTTATAGATTACATTCCCATCATTTCTACCGGTTTGACTCCCATTATTGAATAATAAAGATGCACAAGAGACACAACAAATAAAACAGTTTTATGAGCCAAAAGTATGACAAATAACATGGACGGTAAAGCATGAAACCAGACAGCAGATAGGTCTCCTATGCCAGGGAGGTAGAGGCATAAGAAGCAAGAACAAGATTTCCACACATGTTACAAGATATAAAAATCTGAAGTAATAATAGGACCATTACACGAACAGGCCAATCAAACTTGACCTGACCACATATCAGTAGATAAAAGTTTCAACATAGGTCAGTTTGAGCAACCATGTAATATGTTCAGACAGAATATCAAGTGCATAAATGTGTCTTTGGGTATTTGACAAAATTCATACACAGACCAACATTTATGTATATGTCTGTATGAACATATATATGTAATAGTTGCATACATATACATAAACATGGATTCAGACATACATAAGCATGCACACACATGTAAGAAAATCAATATGAAACATATCTGCCACCTATGATTTACTAAAATTTGTTTGTGCAACAATGTACACAGCTCAAAAAGAATACCAAGCATGTGGCTCCGTGCGTATGCACACATGAGAACAGACACATCGCCACCTAAGATGAATAAAAATCCTGTCAAATCTGGGAGACCCATATAAATTTCATCATGCAGTTTAAAGCATCATTGAATGGAAGAAGGGCGATTAAAGTAATGTAACCACAAAGCATTCCCCCCCCCCCCCCCATCTAACCCTCTGGCTTTATCCAAAATCAATACACACTCAATGAACAAAAATATGTAGGTTTTTGTATAAAATATCGCTAGCGGAAAATGAACACTCAGTAAAACGAAAAACTCAAACATTCCAGATGAAACAATCAAAAGCTGAAATCAAAAGACAGTAACCATACTTACTGTTACAGTTTCAACTGAATAGTAACCACGGTCAACATAATCTCCCATGAACAAGTAATTTGTATCTGGACACTGACCAGAAAATTTGAAAAAAAAAAAAAGAAAGTATGAATGTGAGGAAAAAAAAGAACCAGTGAAAAAGAGCTAAAAGATATAGGAAGTGGAAGAAACAGACAAGCTTAATTGATGAACAAGCAAATTGAGCAAATCAATGCACCAAAAACTTTTATGAAATAGCTAACAACATGCATATCAATTCGAACTCAAGAGAAAATATGGAAGTTATTCTGATTCCGAGTGTATTACATTACATTCCAGGCATAACAGTTCCATCTTATACCATCTCACAAAGTAATGAAAAATCTTTACAACAGAACTATAATTAGATGCACGTGATAGCTATGATCATGATTTATAAATGTTTGTTGAAGACTAGACAAAAGAAACAAAGTACTAGACGCATTGCAAATAGTTCACAAAAGTTAACAGCACATTTAAAACACAAGATAGCTGCCTCAATCAGAACAATTACCTTCCCTCCAATTCGAAAAAGTTCTGCAAGATCATGAAATTGCCCATGAATATCACCGCATATTGTGACAGGACTTTTGACAGGCTGTATCATATCAAACACAAAAACATACAACTCATGGTAAGCCAACAGCAAGTGTGACAGGAGCAGGCAAATCATGCATTCATTCAAGTAGTTGAAAGGATGTGGTAGTAAGCCTTCAAAATGAAAATTTAATCAAGAATTTAAGGTCCCCAAGGGGACACCCGCCACCCGAACTACAAAAACTTGAGACTTTCAACTTAGAGATCTTAGGTTTGAATCATGGTAATGAGAAGATGGGGTTTACGGGACGGGAGAGACCTACCTATCCAAAGCACAACGGGCTTCCATTTGTACCAAAAGACGAAATAGTATTGGAGTTAAAGATACCTGATGACCATATCAGGAGTTCAAACAACAGGTAGAGACACAAAGAGGTATGAAAGCTGACAATTGCTTTAGAAAGCACTTAAACTTTTGTAGTCCATTCTAGCGATTCATTTTGTTTTTTTTCTTTTCCCTCGAGTCTTATCAACTATAGAGTGAAACGTTTTTATCAAAATATTCTTTTTTGTACCTTATAAGTCATCATGTAAAGAGAACAAAGATTTTAAAACAACAGACTCCATACATTTCCTTTTCAATAAAAGAAAAGGCATATTACATCAGTGGAAACAAATCTTCAGCAGTTCCAATCTCAACATAAACCTCTACTAAACCAACTAATTTTTAGACTTATATTTAAGAAAATAGAAAAGTATTAGGCAACACAAATATAGAAACAAAAAAAAAAGTAAGGATTAATGTGCAAAAATTCAGAAATGCAACACTGCCAATAACAAATGAGGGTTAACAAAACGGACATCACCATTAAAAAAAAACTATTTCAGGGGGAAAAATAATAGAAACAAAATAGTCGTGAGAGTGGTGACAGAGGCAATGGATGATAAGGCACACCTGAACATTGCTTTCCTCCATCAGTATCTCCTTAGCCTTGTCGCATAACACCCTAACCTAATCATAACAAATACCAAGAACAAGATCAGGTAACAATAACTTAAAAAAAAAAGTGTGAAAAAGAAAAAGATTGTCATCTAAAAAAAGGGATTGAGAAAACAATGAGTTCAACTAATCCATAAATGACCATATTAACAAGTATAAAGGCTGTAAAGAAAAGGCTACTCGAAGGTGCAAGGCACACTAAAGGTGGGAAAAAACACTCAACTAATTGAAGAAAGTTGTTAATTTCAGAAAAGATTAATAAAAAATTTTAAATTTGTTGTACTTAATGCCTTCAAACATAAATTTTTCATAAGCTTTAAAAAGTTGACTCCATCTCATACCCTAAAGTTGACTTTAAAAAATTTGTTGTACTTAATGACTTTGAAACATTGAAAAAGAATCGTTGACTCCATTCAATAACATCATTACATTCTAGCATGAAGTTAACGTCATTTCCTTCTCCACAGGAACTTATAAATGGACAATATATCCACAAACATGAAAAAGAAACATTCATTTTCTCAATCAAAAATACATCCCATGTAAGGACCAAATTTGAAGAAACAAAAAAGAACCCAACAGCGATAAGCCTGTTGGCTTTCGAGGTGCATGCATCAATAAAGGTTTACCTTTGCTAGATTAATACAGTGCCTTGGCACCTAAACACGCAACTTGACCACACTTAGAAAACTGTCCAAATAAGGTACAATGCTACAAGCAAGAAATAGATTAATCACAACTCAAATTACTGAACCTTGCCCATATAAGAGGGACTAAATCCATCTATCTGTGCAAATATTACTACTTTTGGAGCTAGATGACCGAGGCTTGTTGCGTAAAATCTTTACAGAGAGAAGCAAAAGTATAACCAAATGTATTGAATGAGGCAACTGATAACCACAAACATTTATAGCCTCCAACAACATTCCCCAGGCATTTAATTCTGATTCTCAAAAACAAATGCTTTAGCCAATTGAGTATGGTGTCCAAACTGTGATAAAATTAAGAAACTAAAATAATTTTCCTACTACCAAACCTGAAATCCCAGGAAGAGTATACTTTTGTAATGGGAAATGAAAAGCAAGAAAGAAAATTAACAAACAAAATGGATCAATATCAGTAAAAGCAAGCAAATAAAGAAAAAACTGATTCCACATAAATCTTATCTTTCTTTTTTTTTTTCCCTATAAACTCCTCCAGCAAATAAAATGGATCTGGTACAATATCCAGAAACCACTGAAAGGAAAATGGATCGGTGGAAGAAGTCACAGATCAAGTCCTAAATCAAGAAATTTCAAACAGATCCGTTTCATTTCGGAATGAAAAATAACTACCTCCTGCTCCGATAAGGGCTTGCACTGCATCAGCTGCGAAATCTGTTCGTCCAGGTTCCCATGCGAGTTCGAACTCACCGAAGAATCCATCTCTCTTTAATAATTCCTAAACCTAGATTCCTACAATTTCCCAAGCAATTATTCTTTTTAAAAAAAAAAAAAACTCTAAATTTATTTCTCAGAAGAAGAACCAACGAAAGAGAGAGAAAGAGAGACTTCTAGTTTTCTGGAGAGAAAAGGAAAAGGAAGGAAGCGGTGGTGAAGAGCCCAATGTTATTGTGAAGAGAGAGAGACTGCTTCTCTTTCTTCTCTTTTTGTTTCGATCACTCACTCCTCCTAACAAAAATCAGTTTTCTTTCTTCTTCTTTTTTTCCCCTAATTGAGTGTTTTTCCAAGGTAAGAAATATTAAGGGACATTTCAAAATTGTTTTTGGGAGGAATGCTGGTGACGTCCAGCTTACCGAGTGCAAATAACGGACCCATCGTAATGGAGAGAAATTATGTGATGGAGGGCTTGGATAAGGGCGTGATGCATTTCAGTGCAAGTAGCGCGTGGGTTGGGATTTGCCTTGTGGGTATTGTGGCTGTAGATGTGATTGGCTCATCTAAACAAGGATCTTATTGGAATAACAGAAGCTTAGGGATGTACAAGCGATCTCAGGAGAGCATCGGTGAGATCGTAAGATCATGCCCATAAAAACTCAGAAAAAAGTGATAACACAAGTCTTTTTGTTTCATCTAAAAATTGCGTCTACCCTGCAGCATTAATACTACTTCACTAGTATAGTAGCAAACTGCAAAAAAAATTTGCTTAAAATGAACCATTTTTTCATTTATTAATAAAATTTATATTTGATATGCAGCCAATATAAAAAAGTCATACGACACTAAATCATTTGATGATGTCACTTCATTAAAAAATAAATTTGATGTATTATACTGTTACAGTAAGTTTTAAAATTTGTATGGTATCTAGCACGGCACACGTAGCTTTTCAATTTTATATCACAAAAAATGAAATATCACTAAAAAAATTTATTAAGAAAAATAATGAAGCACATATCTCTTTACATTTAATTTTCTTCATAATTCGACACATATTTACTGTTTGAATTCTTTCTTTATGCTATACTTGAAACTTAATTGGAAGTGGAGAAGATGGATGGATGGGAAATGGGAAATGAAAAGAGTGATACTTGCTTTATTAGGTTTACAAATATATATATGTATTAAGGTGGCGTTTGGTATTAAAGAAATGAGAACACATTTCTTATAATGTGTTCAATTAAATTATATTGTAATGTTTATTTTGTAACAGATCACTGCAACGTAAGATTGCAATGCACTCATATTACAACCAAGAGATGTAATGTGATTGCAGTCCAAAATCAATACAATCACATTCCATTGCATTTTGTAATGTTCTTAAAGATAATTTTACTCTTCAACTTTATTATCTTATTAAAAATATTTTATATTGTTATAATTAAAATAAA